CCTTTTGCATCTGTCACCGCTAAAAGTCGTATCCAAACACCGGTTAAATGCCGATCCAAGACATTTCACAACCGTATTCTCCAATAATGGGGCACCAGTGACATTCGTATTCTCAAAAATTCAAAGATGTATCATATTTGGACAGAGCAGGCTAAATTATTTAAAATATTCATGACTAATTCGTAGATCTAGCTATATATTATACATAAGATGTGTCATCCTCTTCGGAGTTGCGTTGTGTTACACAAAAACTGATCAAAGATGCTGGAAACTAGGATTTTACGGCTTCAATCTAATATTAATACGTTTTCTCTTGATTAAGGCCCCTTGTGATATGCCTGGCATTATAAGTATACCAAGTATCATTCATTGACCAAGTAGGATAAAAAGAAAACGTTCGAAAGTGTTCATAAAAAGCAAGTACTCACCTCGTCTGTTTATAGGAACAGAAATACGGTCACACTCGTAAGCTTAGAACCGGTCATACTCAATATACGCGGATACTCTAGTTACCCGTGCCATGGCTAAATGGCTGATCTGTACTTTCTATGTGGCACAAAGAAGACTTCATGGTGCTACAGTATAATGTAAGAGAATGAAACAAGGGGAGAAAAGCAGTAGAGATAAGGAGTGGTAGGGCTGAGGACAAAAGTAGACCAGCTTCCAACTACATGTAACTATGCGTGCTCAATAAGATATAGGCTCACAACTGATAAAAGATTGTCAATTTGTTCCTGAGTAAGTGAAGGGTGAGCAAATAAGTAAAGATTTATTTTGTCCATCTGGGTCCTGAACTGAGATTGGTTTCCAGTGATTAGTTCAATATCTCTATTAAATTTAAGAATTTGTTCGGTTTTCAATGGGCATTTAAAAAACAAATGGCGGAAAGTCTCAGGGGCTCCGCATTCGCAGTTTGGAGAGTCAACAGTTGTCCAGTTGTGGGCCTTGAGTTGTGATTTGAGAATGAGATCTGATCTGGCACGATTTAGAATAATTTCTTGTTTCCTTGAGAGTTTTAAGGTCATTGTTGAGATTGTGTCTTGGAAGAGTAATTTTTTCAAGTTGTATTTGAATGATGCTATACTTGGTAATGATTTTAGCTCTCTTGGAATTTTATTCCATATATTCATCATATTATAAACAGGTGATTTCCTTGGCATTGTAATTGGTATACTATAGTCCAGTGTATCTCGCAACATTCTATTGTTTATCTTTTTAAAAGGATGAAATATGTCGCTAATGTATGATGGAGTATTTTGATTAAATATATTATACATTTGCTTTTTGAAATGAAAAATTCTTCTTTCATTTAGACTTGACCAATAGAGAATCAAATTGTCAATTGCTTCCGTAAAAGTGCACATTTACTGTTCGTAAATATTGTCATTTGTATTCGTAAATTGCACTTATATTTTCGTTTTTCATTGGTTCATTGAGATCACGTGATCATTCTCAACGAGACATCGTCAAGACATGGTCAAAATCATCACCCTCTCCCCCTCACACATCTAAAACTCTCGTGTGACGTGACCTATGCATCGAGACTTGCATTTTATATTCGTTAACATTTGTATTCGTAAACTAACATTTATATTCGTAAAGTTTCATTTAAATTTTATTATTCGTTAATGTACGAATATTTCTTTGCTTTCTGCAATAATTCATGGGTAATTTGCAAGATTATTATTAGTAAAAATACATTTCTGCGATAAAATAACAGGCAACTTGTTATTTGAAAGCTGTAGTTGGCGAATAATAAATTGTTAGCTACAAATATTTCCAGTCCGTACAAACATAAAATGCACCCGATTTAGGGATTTATTTGTCTATTTGATACATCATATAATGTATTTGTAACTTGGGTATTTTATGTTACATAAATATTCGTATAAGGGAACTTATTACAAACGAATAATGAAGCAGTTATGACGATATAGTTTAGAGCCCCTCATTTTTTAAACCACTTATTAATAAGCTTATATTCTTGTACGGTTCAAACTTAAAAGTGTTATACAGTTGTTATTACCTTTCCTCTGGAAAAGTATTTGATTAAGATAGCTTCACTTTAGTATACAGAATCACTTTTCTGGACATTTCTGGACGAATACATACCATAGGGCTAGGCACAAACGTTTAATATAGCCCGAACGACCGAATGGAGTGAGGGGTTCGAAAGTATTTGTGCTTAACCATAAGGGGTGTATTCGTCTATATTATACCTGCTCTGAGGCTTATATTAGTTCGAACATGAAATCTCACTAACATTTTTCGAATGTTCATTTAATAATTTAATGGTCCGCCATTACTTCTGCCCGCCGTTATGACGTCACACATTACTCGTATTACCAGGGGTGGTGTTGACGAATATACCCCGGATACAATCATATTCGAATTCATAATAAAGTTAGTCATCATATTACATCGCAAACAACAAACCTTTTTTGTTTTGTTACTCTTACTTTTGCCTATCGAAGAGCTTGTATCCAGAACACTATAGATATTCATAGCAATATTTATTCCATAATACTACTGTTTTTCCTGGGAAATAAAATCATATTATCCCTCTTAAAATCATATATACTCGAAAAATCATATTGTCCCTGGAAAAAAGTTCATTTTTCAAAAAATCAGTTTTTCCAATTTTTCATTTTTTTCAAATAAATGTGATTTTCCATTTTTTCCAATTTTCGAAAAAAAAAATTATAAGTTTTCAAAGATTTTCATTTATTTAAAAACTTCATTTTTTCAAAAATTTTACATTTTTTCAAAATTTTTGTTTTTTTCCAAATTTTTTTATTTTTTCAATTTTTTTATGTTTCTTTTTCCTTGAATTCTCAAAAATTAAATTATGGAATAAAAAGCTATTTGAGGCGTAAAATTGTCTGAAGAATATGAAGATAACATTTAGAAAATGATATCTTAGGTTTAGAGGAAAATGTATACGCTGTATAATAGCAAATTGTAATTTATGACGTAATTTAATGAAAAAGTCACATTCTAACTTTCTAACTTTTCTAAATTTTCTCCATTTGGCCAAAGTATACATTACACATACACATACATCATACCTCTGAATGTTTGGTCTGAAAATAACAAAATAAAAATAAAATTGTCTGAATTCGCGGGCGGGCAATACGTCTTTTATTATCCAAAGATTGAAGGAGCTGTAAATACGCTATGGTATTTTTTTTTTTGAAAATGTGACTTCATTCTTGTTCGGGTTGATTCCCCATAGACCCCATGTTACAAAATCACAAAGAGTGAAATATAATTTCTTGTATTGGACAGATAACATTTTCTTTTACTGGACATATTTAAATTTGCATAACTATTAGATACATAAGGGTTATATGAAAATTGAACCACTAAAACAGATGTAATTTAAGTTAAAGGAATTTTCTCCTATACCCACCATGTTATCTGACCCGAACGAGCCACCTGGTGGTAAAACTGGTAACTACCTACTCGCATCTGCGTTATTAAATTACACGATTTCTAGCAATGATATAATAATATAAGTTATTCAATGATTGAGTCAAATATAGATAATATTCTGCGCTAGCAGAGTGAAATAAAGACTTTCAAGGGAAGAATATTTTCTGTATTTCACAAGAAAACATTGAATAACGTTTTTATTCCATGATTACTTAATATATAAAACTTCCCCATAATCAACTCCATTTCCTTGGCTTGACCGGAGAAACAGATCAACCTTCTCACCTCATAGATATTTTCGATCGATGTTCCTTCAAATTATTGTCGGCTTTGTTGTTTGTCTACTCTTTTCTCCTCAATTTCATCAGCTGGAAGTGCGGTGTAGTAAACGTTTTTTCGACTTTCGTCTGCCATATTGAATTTTTACTAGTTCATGAAAACACTGTGCATGCTTGAAATTGATTTTTTATATTTACAGATGCTTGTTTTTATCCTAGAATTATAAATGGTGATGATCACAGTATCATTTTCTGATATTCAAATAAGATATTTCTAGCAAAATGCAAAGATTAGCACCTTTTGGTGTAAACTAATAGTCATACTCTGGATGGAAATATGGGGCGTCTGGATACTGGACCGTATCCCAACGCTGGCGTCATTTTCACTCTGTGTCCAACGGTAAGTGGAAAGTACGTGTAAGTAAAATATATATTTTTGAAAGTCACATGGACCAATAACTAGATTACAGGGAATTCCAACATCAATTTCAGGAGGGATGATGGAATTAAAATATTTGTTTTCACGTTAGACGATAGTATTTGGATATATTTGGGTCTATTTTTCTTATGACTGGTTTACATTTAGTTTGCTTTTCTTGCAAGGTTTCTTCACAGTATTTTGTCCTTTCCATTTAGACTGTTTGCTTAGATATTTAGGAATTACTGTACACACCATTAATTTTTGCAACCGAAAGCCCTTTTTAGATCCGTTATATAAGCCCTCATTTAAAGTTTAAACCATTTTGGCTTAGATTGTAGTCTTACCCAATGTTATTGAATTGTGATATGTGAATCTTTTTTTGATTGTTTTTTGTTCAAAAAATCGTGAATTTATTTAAAACTAAAAATAGAGGGAAAATTTGAATATTTGAGAAATGAAAAGCTGACAACTTTTAATTTTTTCCCAAAATCACTAAAATAACTTCTAAAGTCATGACAAATAGTAAATGAATAATAAAAACAATCTTTCAAACTTTACATGGGAACTTTAAAGCCTGTTCATGTCTGGCGATTTAAAAAGTCACATTTGTAATGAAATTTCGAAATATGATAATTAAATAAAGTCAAGATTCACTCAAAAGCTATTATGGTATAGATTGAAAATTTCCAGTCGGTTAACTTATTGAGGTAATTGTACCATTTCATATTGAGAAGAAAATGAATCGAGTATTTACATTGACCCAGGTAGGGCAACAGCTGTATCTTGCTTGCTCTTTAATGCATAATTATTGATTATTTTAAAACACAATAAATTTCCGAAGATTCATGCGCATTTGTACTTGATGGCAAGAATCAATATTTCAAGATCTTCTATTAGAAGAAATTAATTTCAAAATGGATACTGTGTGGATTTTCATGATCTTAAAATGCTACTTATTCATAGAGATCACCACCATTTGTAATGCAGAGACTGTGATATCAGCGTTACACCACGAGCGTTTGATTTACATAGAGCGAGAACTAATTCAACTTGTTGAAAAAGTTCTAAAAGATGGTAATGCAGAAGATGCTCCAGATGAGAATACGCCACGTATTCGCAGGTGAGATTTAAATTGTTACAAGATAGTACTAATTCTTGTTATACTAATATAAGCGTGCCGATTTTTTCTGTTTTATGATATCTACCTCACGATGGTCTGTTTTTAGTCAATATTATATAAAAGTTACAAGTACATCATACACGCAGCTCATACACGTAGCATTGCCACCGTATCATGTTATATCATATTATCATATCGAGTATATACAAATTTGTTCCGTATGAAAAGTTGCATTCGATTGCAAAGTGAAAGCTTCAGAATCCATAGTGTCCCTGAAAAAAGGTACAATGTATAAAAGTATGGAAGTAAGGGTCATGTATGAGCATCTTGGACGTAGTCCGGTGGTCTGTTCGAATTCACCCTGGCCACTACCCATTTTCTAGTGATAAAGGTGATATATAAGTCACTTCACGAATCCTGCCTATATGACCTTGTGCATAACTGTCACAAACATGTTGACGGAACTCTACCATGATGAGAACTTCTAGAAATGTGCAATACAGCAACTAGATATAGTATAGATTTGTCCTTTAATTGCACTCGGAATTAGCAGAAACTGCCCTCGAAATTACCCCCTACCCATATATTTTGTCTCGTTCTCCATGGACACCCTTGCTTCTGAAACTTTGAAATCTTATGTAACATTCTATACGAAACAAAATGATAAGTGTTGGTGGTTACAAGGAATGGTAGATTTGTCAATCCATGGCCAAGACATATTTCAAATCCTTTTTGAGAATAGTGATGCCTATTTGAGTGTCTTCAATGTCATAGACATACGATAGGAAGAATACTAATCACCAAATGAACCATTTGGGTATCCCCAATTCATGACAGTCAGATGGTAAATGCCTTTAGTCAACAAAATATCAAAATGAATACTGATACAAAAACAATTTTTGATCCATCGAGCCAAATCAAACCGTATAAGTGGTTCCGTCGACGACCGCAAAATAACTGCAATAAATTGATCACTGTAAAACTATGAGAAGCAATAATGGTATAATGTATCAATTGACATTGCATCAATATCCACTGGGGTATTTTGGTGAGAGTTAGTCACTTAATTAGATAATGGTATGATGTATCAATTGACATTGCATCAATATCCACTGGGGTCTTTTGGTGAGAGTTAGTCACTTTATTACCATATTTTTACTCCTACTCTATGATGAGTGTACATTGTGCAATGTAGAATTCTAAAAATGATATCAGTTCATGATGTGTACCAAATATTTGTCCATTTAACTTCAAATGTTAACAGACAAGCTCAAATCATTCGACAAGTCGAATGATTTTGAAATTATTGAAATATGTTTTGACCATTTGAAAAAAGTTGCTTCACATTTGCATATAGATCTACAGTGTGATCTACAGGGTGGGCCAAAAACGCCTACACCTTTTATTTCGATATAGATTTAAACAAAAAATTGACATGATATACAGAAATTAATTTGACAATTGTTCCCAAGTTGCATAAATAAATCTCTATCGATGTTTGAATAATAAAAGTAAACAGCCGAGATTTACAGATTTCAGAATGTTATTCGAAGCAACAATTTAACACTGTTATTTGTCATGTCTCATATTAAAGTACCAGATATACATATTATTCAGTCTGTCAGAGAAACACACTTGATTGAGCCCACGCATTAAAGAACTCAGACAATAACTAAATATGAATTACACGCCAATAAGAGAACATCATTTTAATCCAGATTTTGTCTATCAGTTCCGTTTTTCTTGATGCTGAACCAGTGCATCTAATATTCTTCATCGGTCTCAATACACTCAATGCTTTTATTTCTATCGAAAATTGCAACAGTGTATACATCCAAAATAACATGTTTCTTTGGCTGAATGTATAAAATGTCAATCTGGAAATGTTATTTGAGGCAAGACTTTTATCAATGTCAGTAGTAAAATTGTCGATTTGACTTTCATTCTGAAATCTGTCATTTTCATGCAAAGACACTTCTAGTGTTTGTTTATCTGCATTATTCAAAAACCACTAACATGTATTTATTCCACTTTGGGAACATTTGCAAAATTGATTTTTATATATCCTGCAAATCTTATCGATATGCATGCATTTTCAATTTATATTGAGATGAAATATGTGGACGTTTTTTAGCTCACCCTGTATGCTACGGACTATGGAGAAATGGTGAATCCACAAATAAGATAAGAAAAGTGTTCCATTAAACATATACATATTTTTTACAGGTTTATTGATACAGTTAACGAAGAGAATACAGAAGCATACAATGAGCTACCTATTTACACTCACCACCCATTGAATGTTCTTCGTATTGTTCACCGCCTCGTTAATGTTTGGCCGCAATATACAAAAAACATTAAAGCCCTTTCTTCCTGTACCTCGGGTAAGCCTACATATAGGTCTTTTGACCAATATATCATATCATTTTTGAAAAGTAGTTATAATATGTACTGAACTTATCAAAGTCAAATTATATTTCGATAACAATTATCACAGACGTTAAAATATATTCGGCAATATCTCGATGATTTCAGTCATCTCATCAACTATCGACAACCTGCTAGGTCAGATTACCAAGGACTGGCTAGCCAAAATTGCCTACTCAATATCAAAAACAAAACAACTATACAACATCGAACTCAATAGCATCATAGATGGTGATGTAAATGGACACATTACATCGAGAAAATTAGGGCTAGACGAATACCAAATACTCGCACGCGCTGCTCACCAAAAAGAAGATTATGCAGAAGCCATCGAGTGGTATGAAGCACTTCTTGACGCACATAGAAAGTCTGGTGTAAAGTTCAATACAACAAAATTACTCAATACGCTTTCATCATGTTACATAAAAGTGAGTAAAACGCATTAATAATGTAGCTATAAGCCCCTTGGTCCTTGAGTCACGCAGCATTTACCCTACATATTTTGTAGGCGAGTGTGCGAAGCAAGATATTCAAATAATCAGAATTGGGTCTAGTAAATTCCAGATGTAAAAACATGACCAAAATCATCTTATGTTGCTATTCTCAAACTTAATATAGTATCTATATTCTATACATGCATAGTACTAAGATTTATAAGTATGTAATTCACATTTCAATCCAGCCCGTTGACACATTGTTAAAATATGTTAATGAATTCCAGAATAATCGTATTCAAGATGCTACAGAAGCGATCCAGGCAGTTCTTGAAGTGGATCCTAATAATGCGCGCGCATTATCCAACGAAGTGTATGTTGCTCAATTGGGTACTGCTCGATCTGAGTCAGGAACTCCGACGGCAGAGAAACGGGATTACAAGTATGAGCAACTTTGTAGTGGTAACCTTAAAAAGGTAAATCCTCAGAGAAAATTTCTGTTGTCACTTGTTATCACTGATAGTTTTGGTCAAAAAATGAAACTAGGCTAAGACTATAAACCTGCATATAGGATATTTTGTATTGACTCTGAAACTATTGATGTATTAAGTTTAATTCCCTCCGATTGAGCTTTAAGAATAAGAAATCAAAACCTTGATTTTAGCCTGATACTGTGCAAAGGAAGTTGAAGTGCTACAATAAAGAGACCGGTGTTTTCCTTCGCAGTAAAGTCGAGGTTGTGAATAGGCGTCCTTTGGTCGAGATCTACCATAATGTAATAGATGACCACTCTTTAGATGAATTAGTTAACGATTCTGCAAAGAGAGTGAGTCGTGTAATAATGATAAGTTTCAGGAAACATTAAAGGTTGTTTAATATCAAGTCATCTATTATAAAATTACACCTAGTTATATCATGGTCCCGGATATACTAATCCGATCTTTTTGTTAAGGATGATGAATAGGTCAAAAATGATCTATACTATTAAATTTATTGTAGTAGCAAGTGTACAGTATGTAGCGTGTAACTTGTGATATTGTTTTCAGCTTTATGGAGTCATCGTCGATGAAAATGGTTACACAAGTGATTCATTCAGGTACGTCTCTCAACAGAAGTAAATGTACGAACAGTATATGCACTACATTATATATATAGTTTTACATTATACCCATCATTCATGTAAGAAGTGCAAGAAATGTGAAAGACTAGAGTATTACAAAACACAGCAATAAAATAAATATTGCTGAATTGATCCAATTAAAAACTATCCCCAATATCCCAGACTGTGAAATAACGTTAAATGCACACCCAAATGCTCACTTATCACAACCACAAAACCATAAAGTCGCGGTAAATAGCATTAATACTGAGATCAGTACATGATACATTTTAAGAACAAATTATAAATATGAATTCAAACACCCTCGAAAAGTGTTGTAGATCCAAGCACTCATAGATGTAACTGCATTACAGAGCTGTGTACAGAGCTAACCGATTTTACACTCGTTTGGTAACACGACCATTGTTTTACGCCACTCAACAAGCGAAATGGTTAAACCAAGCATTATTAGTAAGTATTATAAGTTTAGTACTTTAATTCCAACACGACACGTCTTATCAAAAATAATATGTAGTTTTTTCGTAAAACATCATTCATGTTTGTGACCACAAATGAACGTTTTCATCATAGACTACGGCCCACTCTGATAATTGTAACTCCTTCCTTACATGAAAGGTTACACATTCCAACCTATTTCAAACCATCTGTATGATGATACTAGACACTTTCTGGGTAGTTGGACTTTCTATAGGGGTGGCAGACGGCCCTCAGACCAAATTATACCCCTACCCCCAAAAAACCATGGGGGTACTTTAATACCACCCAATAAAAAGAATACTAATGCATGTCAGATATTCATTGTTTTATATTGGGTAGGGCATGTTATGGTTAGTTAGTGCCAGAAATTTCCAATCTCTAACTTATATGGTTACCATAGAAACAGTATTTATATCTCGAAATATTCTCAATTTGACCCCCTCCCAAATGTGTCCCTTTGTTCTCAAAGTGAAATATTTGCAAATCTGTTTGGATTTTATGGCTGCTACTTTGTCAAAAATTGTATCAATATGTATATTTTAACATTTAAACACTGAAAAGTGTTCATAATGATCCTATAAATCAATAATATTTATCAAATATAGTCACACATAGCTGCTTTTAGGGAAAAGTGGGCGTGGCACTTTTTGGTACGTGTGTACTTGTTGCAGCATTAAATGAAAAATACATATTATACTAACAACAATTGACATTTTATTAGCATCTACTTATGTTGTGTAACATTGTAATTTGTTCATTATCATTATTAGACACTTTAAATATTTTATATAAGTGTTATCCTGACCCTTCCCTTTATCCCTACACCCTTCAAGGTGGGCATTACCAATCGTGTCAAGTTAACATTTCTGTTTGATTTATTTTTACCATAGACAAGGTTTACCATGAGTACTGACCTTATAAGGTTCTAAACTGATGAATGGATAGGTAGATGGCAGCACTTGTGCTGGTTGGACTACACGCTAGCATCTACCATAGACACATATTAATTTACCATATTTGTTATTTTGGATTAAAGTAAAACTGCTTTCGCATCAAACTTAATGAGATTCATATTGTGTTTGAAACTAGATGATCTTCAGATTTTGTGTGAACCTTAAATTCATGACAATCAAAAGAATTCAACATTTAGGAAGTCAACATTAAGATTTTTAGCATTGTCTCAATGAGAATTTAGCACGACCTTTTTCAGAAAGTTAAAGATCATAGAAAATTGAACATAATCAAAGTTCCTCAGTAGAACATTTAATCTCCTAAAATCACATTAAAACTATATCAGCAATATTTCCAAGCTAAATAGTATAAAAACTTCTATCACATCATTTGCAACGTTTTCATTATTCAATAGTTCAACCCTATATGAATTATTGATGATTTTAAAAGTGCAAGGAATCTAAATGAATCAGGGAAGTCAGTGATATGTATTTGCCTTATTAATTGTTGACTTATACAATGAAATAGACTTAGATGCAAGTAGAAATAATCTTGCTTTACATCATAAAAAATTCAAAATTCAGTAAAATAAGTGATATCATATTTGAAATCTTCATGAAGAATTACATTTCTTCATGCAATAAGTTAACCTTTTAGTGAGTAGTTGTGACTAATGTAATCATGCACTTATATAATTTGTCAGTAAAAGTTATTTATCCTATACTTAGTGTTATAGGTAAATAAAATGCATGAATATAATTGATACCTTAGGTGAGTGGGGATATACATGTACTGCATATCCCGCTTTATCCCATACTTGGTCGTGTTTCAGGTACATAAAGCAGGTTTGTAAAAACTTATATTTTCATCAGCGGGCAGATATAGCTTTACGTTCTGTTGCGAGCGGGCAGATATAGTATATCTGCCCCCTCCGTCATAATCGCCCTTTCAGGATAGTTCCAATATCCTGAACCTCATATAGGATAATCTCTATGTATCGCCAGGTTTATCACCCGCTCAGTAATCCCCTGCAGGAATTTCATTCTGTGCAATTTCTCATATTTTCGTATATTAGTATATGATAAATAATTTTGGGTACAAGATATTACAATATATTAAAAGAGGCTTTGTTGCTTAGATGGGAGAATCAATTAGCTGCATTGTTCAGTTTATGACAAAATTGATGTTTAGTGTTACTTTCATGAACACCCATCCTGTAAAATAGCATTTGGAATCTAGTAGTTTGTATATAGATGAATTAGATAAGGCATTGTCGAGGAAAAATATCCAACAAGATTACTAGTTTGCTCATGAAATTAGGCATACTTTAACTTGAAACAATTTGTAACACTCAATTTTTGGGGTTTGGAGATCGAAGTAATAATGATGAAAAACAAGCAATTTTAAAATATTTATGTTTTACCCAAATTTTTAAAGATTTTTGTTAGCCTTTGTTTCGTCTGTTTTATTCTCAAATAAATCATGGTCACCAATTTTAAAATTAAATATTACTGGTTAGAGAATGTGATTTCTTACTTTAGGTTATATTTATATCCCGATTTATATGTATAATAATAATTGATGAAGACGAATAGAGATTATCCTCTATGAGGTTCAGGGTATTGGAATTATCCCGAGGCCAATATAATATATCTGGTCGAGGGTCGTAGGTCCCGAGGGAAGATATTTTCTATTGGCCAAAGGCCTTAGGTCCTGAGGGAAGATATATTATATTTGCCAAGGGATAATCCTAATAGCATGAACTGACTATAGGATTATCTGTTTATCCCATATCAATCTTTCTTATCTGGTTCACATTATTCAATTGGCCAGAGTTAGAAAGAATACAGCCACATGAATGTATTCATGACTAATTTTGTTTTCTTGGCCTTAGGAGGATTCTCCTGTTTTTTAAGTATTCATCCACATATTCTCGAATCATTGATTATTAACATATGTATTAAGTATGCTACTTCCCTCATTGCTAATCATACACAAATGATGATTATGACTTAGTGGGCAGGTGTAATATATCTACCCTCTCAGGCAGGGACATTAGCTATATCTGCCCGCTGATGAAAATATAAGTATTTCATACACTAAACTGATTTGTTTAGGAATTATATGAAGTATTTCAAAAACATATACCGAACCACTATTGAAGGAATCATTGAAAATACAGCATATCAGAAACATGTGTAAATTGTTTATCTTGCAATTATTTTGCTAAATACTAATAGAAATTATACTGTACCTTCCAGAGAATAGCTTTTTTTGTTAACTATGAGCCAATGAATGCATTTTATTATAACTGCAAAATGATGCTCTATGCAATTCATACGAAAAATTAATTTTGCCATATTAGAATCAAGTATAACCTTTAATCCATTGGATAGATCATGCATTGCCTGATGTTGAGGTATTGATAAAAGAATCAGCGAGTGTCTGACAAAATAGATTTTAGTGTTGTGTATAAGGCAAAATATTAGGAAGGGTATAAATGGTCTCCAATCTTTCTAGTTTTGAGTATTACGTCTTCTTGCTTTGATTCAAATTATCCTCGGTCACTATTTGTAACCCCTCCCTCCTTCCCCATTTAGGCCATGAATATGAAGATGATTTAGAGGTTATGTGAAGGATACTAGGGAAGGGTTAATAGCCAGAGTTAAATTAGTTCATTTAATCATAAATGTTATGCAATTCACACTAGCATCAAATATCATACCAAAAGGATTGAACTGTTCAATTGCAGTAAACATAGTAAAATGGTTCTTAATACTGAACATTGTTGAACTAGCATAGATGACTTGAATAGCTCTAGATGACTTGAACTTATCCATTCATATTCTAGGAACAAGTCAATGAATAAGTAAGACTTGACTCTTGACAGGCTTAAAAGACCGAGGACCCTATAAGACTTAAACTAAAAGTTCATTTGACCATTGATGACCTATGATAGGGAAGGGTCAGGATAACACTTATATAAAATATTTAAAGTGTCTAATAATGATAATGAACATATTACAATGTTACTCAACATTAGTAGATGCTAATTAAATGTCAATTATTGTTAGTGTAATCTGCATTTTTCATTTAATGCTGCAACAAGCGCACAAGTACCAAAAAGTGCCACGCCCACTTTTCCCTGAAAGCAGCTATGTGTGACTATATTTGATAAATATTATTGATTTATAGGATCATTATATCAACTTTTAAGTGTTTTAGTGTTAATATAGACATAATATTACAAATTTTGACAAAGTAGCAGCCATAAAATCCAAACAGATTTTGAAATATTTCACTTAGAGAACAAAGGGACACATTTGGGAGGGGGTCAAATTGAGAATATTTCGAGATATAAATACTGTTTCTATGGTAACCATATAAGTTAGAGATCGGAAATTTCTGGCACTTATTAACCATAACATGCCCTACCCAATATAAAACAATGAATATCTGACATGCATTAGTATTCTTTTTATTGGGTGGTATTAAAGTACCCCCATGGTTTTTTGGGGGTAGGGGTATTAATTGGTCTGAGGGCCGTCTGCCACCCCTATAGAAAGTCCAACTACCCAGAAAGTGTCCAGTATAATCATACAGATGGTTTGAAATAGGTTGGAATGTGTAACCTTTATGTAAGGAAGGTTGCATTTCTAGAGCACTTCTACAGAATGGCTTACAGTCTATCAGTTATGATTTATTTATGTATTCTTCCACGTTGTTTTAGGTGACGAATTATGGCATAGGGGGTGGAGAGGATCCATATGTACATTTATATCAGGTAATTTACTTAAGCGTTTTGTTCTCGTTGACTTAGACTAAAATTCCAGAAATATGTGCATTTTAATCGAGGTGTAAGAAGTGTACTTTTATGAAATAGCATATGTCACTTTTGAAATATTTTTGCAGGAAGATACGCTGGGACTTGTCATAACTAGAGCAATCATATTTGTAAGTAATAAAATCATTCATGTACTTCTTTTATATGTTTTACAATATTACGTCGAATCATGTTTGAGCTCTCCTACTGATTCAGTGATATAAGTAATCAACAATACCATCATCAAAAGCACCATACGTGGGTTTTCGTACACCACAAACAGATCCAATCATCCTATCACTTGTTCCATAGTTGATCAGCAAAAGATAATGATATACTTCATTTGGACAATATCTGTATATGGGAGTACTCCAGCGATTCATTTATTGTTCTTTATATGCTGTGCATTCATTTATCAAAGCAAATGATTTCGGGAATTGTGCAATTCAATTTTAGCCTACAAGTGTAATACTATACGGTTTGTATTTTCAACCCTCTGGTTTTCAGTTAAACGAGGTCAAAGATGGAGGAGACTTTCTTTTACCAATGACAGAAACTAAAATAACCCCGAAGAAGGTATTTATCTTACTTTATTTGACACAAATAACTAAGTTGTTGTTAGGAAAGCATAACTGTTATCGGCCTCCAAATTAAAATAAATACATTTCAATGTACCTTTCCTCGAAGAAGATTTGCAAAATACTAGTCTCAGTTCGGATAACGAAGGTCATCAGGCTTCTGTACGTTATGCCTGCTTTCGATAATTTTAATATTTTCACATATTGTAGAGTTAAATTAAATGTCCTATTTTGAATATTCATAATTTAATTTGGATGTTATTTCTATATTTTTCATAAAACAAATTATGAGCGCAGTACACTGATGAACTTCGTTCTCTAAACCTAGACTTGTCTTTTATTGAATCGGTCTACTGCACGTTACGCCTGCTTTAGGCAATTTGATATTCTTACATATTGTAGACTTAAATGTCTTCGTTTGCATTTTCATGATTTAATTCGGGTGTTATTTCTATATTTTTCATAAAAATATTAGCCCAGTAGACCTTTTCTCCAAAGCGAGACTTTTTGTAAGGAACGGACATTTTTTGTTCAAATGCTTACAGATATAGTTTTTGAACCTGTTAGCAACATGGGATTTTCAACCTCGAGATTAAAATAAATGAATTGTTATACACTCAAGCAAAAATGAAGTCCACACTTAATACATGGTGGTCCAAAATATGGGACACTCGTATTTCAAAAATAAACATTGATTCCATTGATGAAAACATGTCATGTTAAATATAAGTGGATAGGGAATTTAGTTATCTTTAATTTGGGATATCATGAGCTCAAAATTATAATATATGTCAACCAGCGTCTATTATACAAATTACGTCATTTTCGTTTCAAAATTGGTTCTCAAAAACTTGCAAAAAATTGATGTCCAATATTCCTCCGTTTTAATCAAATATAGCCTTCAATTTTGGCCTAAACTTGTCAGTAGCATCATTGATATGCTGTTGAGACAATGAATTCCACTTCTCAACAACGCTGTATTCATGATACACCGATTTTGTTGGTTCTCCAAATACGTGGTAGTCAGAGATGTTGGCAGCGGGTTATCTGGGGGGACCGTTGATTAGAGAGGATGAATCGAGGCACATTCTCCCTGAAATATTTGATTGCATTTTGGAATCTATGGCTTGGAGTCCCATCTTGTTGGAAAGTGTAATCATCCTAATATGAGATCAGGAATATTGCTCTGATTGGTCCCCCTTAACCACTGGTCCCCAGATCACCCGATGCCAGCGTGTGGGGAGAACTAACAGAATTGATGTACCATGAGCCCCTTACATCTATTTAGGGCAGAATTGTTGAGAAGTTGAATTCATTATTTCAAAAGCATATCAATGATGCTATCAGCCTGATTTATGATCAAAATGGTGGACATATTGAAACAATTGTTCGCAAAAACAAAGAAAATGACATCTTGGCCCTCCTGGCGTGCTGAGTCATTGACATATTGGACGTCAACATATATGCGTATAATTTTGTCGTCAAGACAATTCGATCGTATATACAGTGATGGAATGATCACCCAAGGCAAGCGTTGGCTTTTAAGTGCATAATTGTTTGTAATTGGCATTTAATTGAATATGACATCTAGAATTAGAGCCGATTACAAGCTGCGAAAAAAACTAAGAACAAATAAGCCTTGTATCTTAACTTCCCTATAGTAGTTTAAGCATCCATTTGTGAAGAACTTATTTACTTATACTTTTAGGGATCTGTGGTTATATTTAAACAAACAGACAAATATGGCAAGATACGAAAGAAAACGTCTGTATTTGCCGAATGTCCCCTTATTTATGGTTCGAAATGGGGTAAGTATGAATCTGAAAATACGTTTAGTTGTAACAAAAATACGCATTCTGAACTTATCACGTTTTCTCAAATTCGTATCCAGACAATTGCACTCAGGTAGATGTGAATAGGCAATCAACTCATTCCAATATTGTATTTTATTATATCACTGTAATATTCCTCACTCTCTTATTGGTCCATGTCCTACACGTGACTAAAGAATAACTAGCGATATTCAACGGAAGTCACGTGACAACATTTATTGTAATGACTTTGTTATGAATGAAATGTCCCTTGGTCTTTTGGTCTTGGATTGTGATATTGGTTCTTGAATGGTGGGGAAAAGGGGGGCTATTAGACATTGTTTCTTTTCACGTTAGATCCTGGTTTTGGGCTATATGGGGTTTGTTTTCTTTACTGGTATGCACTTAGAGTTTGCTTTTTCTTGCTAAGTCCCATTACAACGTTTGGTCCTTTCCCTTTGGCACTAGTGCTTATATATTTATGGAAATTTGTTCCTGGAAGTTTAAATACAACAAGTAAACTGGTTCAGGAGCTATTATCATTTACATTACATGCTCAGTGACGTTATTTAGCCTAAGCCAGAGCTGGATTCATAGCAAAATACCCTACACTCCCCTCCATAAGTTTGGCAACCTTTTTCCCCCATTGAACTACGTGTTAAAGCCTCTTTATCTTTGAAATTGTATTTACTTAACCTGCGATGGAAATACTATACCTCCAAATTTTCTCAATTTTTTGCCTCAATTACAATATAGGTAGAAAATTGATGATAAATTTGATGAATTTTTGAAAATCGACATTCCCATGTTAACCAATGGGAAATGGTTTGCCGCAAGTCATATGACAGAATATCCATCCATCCGAGTCCTTGCAAAAAATACGAGTTAGGCAGGCAATTGAATTTGCTAACTTTATTTAACAAAAAATTGATATGTTTCTTCAGGTTCAACAAAGTTATAGGGCTTTAAAGTCAAAATTGTTTTTCAAAAAACTTCTCCCATTGAAATAACACAGGAGGCGAAAAATTATTTTCAAAAATGACTTTGAAGCGCTGTAACTTTAATATTCATCAAATAAACTAAACACATAGTGTTAAAAAAAGTGACACAATTCAATTTTCTATGTAAAAATATTTTTTGCTGAATCTTTTACTGAAAAGATATCCTGATTTCTGATTTGCCCCGAACCCTCTATTTCCCATTGGATTACATGGGAATGACGATTTTCAAAAATTCATCAAATTTATCATCAATTTTCGACCTATTGTAATTGAGTAAAAAAATCGAGAAACTTTGGAGGTATTGGAAATAAAGTCAAGTTACGTTTCAATCAAAATTATAAGTTATTTCATCGCCGGTTAAGTAAATAAAAATTCAAATGTAAAGAGGCTTTAACACGTAGTTCAATGGAGGAAAAAGGTTGCCAAACTTATGGAGGGGAGTGTATGTCCAGGCCTTGTTTTAGCATTATATTCAGCAGTGGTTGCCTTCTTTAGGTCAGCAATTGTCTGAGGATTGTTTTAGTACACAGTGTGTATTAAATAGTACTATTTGAATAGCCACACAAAAAGAAATCGGGTGGATTCAAGTTTGGGGTTTATGGAGATGAAGAGTTGTCTGACTTAAGAAATATAGACCTCAGGGCAGGCCTACTAGTTTCGAATACACCCCGCAGGTCTAGGCACAAAAGATTTCGAACCCATCACTCCCTTCGGTCGTTCGGGGTACAGAAAACGTTTGTGCCAAGACCTGCGGGGTGTATTCGAAAATAATAGCCCTGCCCTGAGGTCTATATTACGATTCGAACGTTAAATTTTAATAAAAATTTGCGAAAAGAACGGAACAGCCTGAACTGAACATTGCGTGCACTAAACGAAACACTAGTACAGAGCTGGGGCATTGATCTCGAATATAACCCAGCAGAAGCATTGACTTTAATTTGTTCACAGTTTATAGAAGGCGTGAATACAGTCATGTTCGAATATCGCTTATGACTCAGTGACGCTACTCAGTTACAGTATCATTCTAATTTTTTTGGACAGCCCTTGGTGCAATAGGAATTAAATTGTGACATATAGTGGTTTTAGCAAGATGGCAAAAGTATGGGCACTACTCCCTATACCTAAAATTACTCACTATAGATAGGTCAGATAACCCTTCATTTCAGCTTCATACAATAGATATAGACTTGAATCCACCTAATTTGTTTTTGCATGGCTATTTGAAAGATAATGTAGACCAGAACAATCCTCAGACAATTGCTGACTTAAAGAAGACCATCGCTGATAAATGATATGCCGTAATAAGGACTGAACATCTGACAGTTTTTTTGCCATACGAATACTATGCCTTAGGCTAAATTGCGGCTACTTGAAGCGTGTAATGTAAATGATGACAGATCCTGAACCAGTAGACTGGTTGTATTGGAACTTTCAGGAACAAATTTCAATAGAACCTTTTTGACGTGTGCATTTAATTAATTGCCTTACGAAGGTTTTTGTATGTATAAATAGTACGATGGTTATATATTTAATAGCTATGTTCATTTTGTACTATCCCAATATCAAAAACAACGCTCGACGGTCTCTCCCCACATGCATCGTCTTTCTGTTTTTACATGTTGAAGATATGAAATTGTCGCGTTTTGTTGATCATAATGTACTGTATCTCACGAAATAATAAAAATGTTAAGTAACAGATGTACTGGTTACCATACACTTATTCATGTAGTATATATGCAATTTCAAAATATGTCATTTATTTCATTTTTCAGTTGCCTGGGCTACGTTTACAGAGGAACCTGAAAAAGCACCTTCGAGGTGGTCGCTATGGAGATGAAACACTGCTATTCTTGATTTACTATTTGAAAACAACAACATTTATGAACAATAATTATTCGTAATTCACACATGTATTTCAAGTATTGATAATTGTGAGTGATTTCAAATTTCATGATCTACGACAATACCTGTCATCATATATTTAGAAGTGCATCCTACATATCCTAGGCATATTTGTCTATTTAGTATGATATGGGACTGATTTAAAACAACGATTTTACTGACTGTTTAGCTTTGATATATCCCTTGCTTAATTTTGAGATGACACTTCAAATCACATTTCTCAAATTACATTTTAGGGGGTATAATGCGTCAGTGTGCGTGTATTTTTTATTAAAGTATCGTTCAGTTCAAAATTTGCTCTAAATGTCGTCTATTCCTTTGCAGACACACATGGATTCTTCACAAAAATACCACCCAGCTTTTGTAACATAACTTTGTAAATACTAATGATTTTGGCTTTTACTTTCATGGAAATGTCCAAGTCCATTCAATAGATTACAAAATAATGTAGTTGTCATTGATAAAATCATTATAACTTATTTCCCAAATTATGTTACAAAAGATGGGTGTCATTTTTTGTGTAAGATCCAGTTGTGCCAGCAAAGGAATAGACGACGCATTTTGCAACGCTCATAAATGTGCGTCAAGGTGAGCTAGTCATCTGAAACTTCTTGTATAGTTGCAAAATAAAGTGTAGTTTTAATATGCGAAACAACAAGTCAACATCTTTTTAAGACAAAAAGGTTATGAAACATTATGTGGGTGGATGGCATTTTTTGTCACGTGGTATATGCATATAGTACTATTGACAAATTATATTGTGTTTTATAAAGTACATGTAACGCGTTGTATTTGTTTATCAATAAAATCAGACTGTTGCTGCAAATTTAGAATATAAATAACGTTTTTTTTATATCTCGTTGCTATCATGTGATACTATAACGTTACCAAATTAGAAAGAACAACATGTAACAATGCGGTTGGTGGCTCAATTTGCTTGTATTAATTTTTCACAAATAATGAATTACATGTATACATATATTTTACAACATACATGTGTATAGTCAAATACAGAAACAAAACTATGTGATATTATATAATATGGGGCTAATAAATCATACTTTTCAATAGGAATAATACAAACTGTTCTTTAGAAAAACGCCAGCCGTCCTTTAGAATGATGTGAACTGTTGCATAGAATACTGACTGTTGTTTAGAAAAACGCCAGCCGTCCTTTAGAATGATGTGAACTGTTGCATAGAATACTGACTGTTGTTTAGAATAACGCCAACCGTCGTTCAGAATGATGTGAACTGTTGTATCGAATACTGACTGTTGTTTAGAATAACGCCAACCGTCGTTCAGAATGATGTGAACTGTTGTATCGAATACTGACTGTTGTTTAGAATAACGCCAACCGTCGTTTAGAATGATGTGAACTGTTGTATAGAATACTGACTGTTGTTTAGAATAACGCCAACCGTCGTTCAGAATGATGTGAACTGTTGTATCGAATACTGACTGTTGTTTAGAATAACGCTAACCGTCGTTTAGAATGATGTGAACTGTTGTATCGAATACTGACTGTTGTTTAGAATAACGCCAACCGTCGTTTAGAATGATGTGAACTGTTGTATAGAATACTGACTGTTGTTTAGAATAACGCCAACCGTCGTTTAGAATGATGTGAACTGTTGTATAGAATACTGACTGTTGTTTAGAATAACGCCAACCGTCGTTCAGAATGATGTGAACTGTTGTATCGAATACTGACTGTTGTTTAGAATAACGCTAACCGTCGTTTAGAATGATGTGAACTGTTGTATCGAATACTGACTATTGTTTAGAATAACGCTAACCGTCGTTCAGAATGACGTGAACTGTTGTATCGAACACTGACTGTTGTTAAGACGTGTCGCAAAAAGGTGGCGCATTTGTTTTTTAAGGGTATCGCGTGAGTGTAACTTTGATTCCCCGGATTATAAGATAATATTCTAATTAAAGTTATATATCATTTTAAGGCTGTTTCGATGAAGTTTCTAGATCAACTACACTTCGATCACGATTCTTGCGCGTTCTTTTTTAAAAAAGAGTTTTTTACCAAAACATCTGGCAAATATCCCCTGTTGACACGTTACATTTTGAATTATTTTTCGTCTTTAAACGCTCATAACTCAAACAATATATGACTATTATACTTATTTTCCGTCTTGATAAAGGAAGACGGACGTTTTATTTCAAAGGATGGATTTGAGTAAGCGTCCCTTATTGTGACGTCATAGAGTTTGAAAAATAGAATCTGTTGACAGCGACCTTTTTTGCTCATTTTTTGTTACCTTCAGCTTTTCAGGTGTACATTAAACAAAAAATACAACACCGATTTTAAATAAATTATACATGATTATTTTGCTCCTAAACTCTATTTTATTAATAAACAGTTGATTTTGTTCGCAAAAGTATGTGTTTTCTGTTGTATGTGGAAAAGTGGAGGACGAAAGGTTTTCAAAATTCATTAAAATAGGGCTAATTTACGCCATTCGCCTATTTTCAAGCACAACAACACGTATATTTATTTCACCTAAAATATCAATTGATTCGTGTTGTATGATGCTCCTATCCCATTGTTAATACATGTACGATATCAGAGTTATTCGACTTAAACATTTTGAGATATAGAGGCAAATATGGAGGACGAAAGGATTTCCATATGTATACATTTTTCTCAAAAAAACGTCACATTCAGTGGTGTTAAAAAGCAAAAATGTGTAACAATGCGTGCGCGACCTTTTGCGCTAACCGTCGTTTGGAATTATGTGAACTGTTGTATCGAATACTGACTGTTGTTTAGAATAACGCCAACCGTCGTTCAGAATGATGTGAACTGTTGTATCGAATACTGACTGTTGTTTAGAATAACGCTAACCGTCGTTCGGAATGATGTGGACTGTTGTATAGAAAACCGACTGTTTTTTAGAATAACGCTAACTGTCGTTTGGAACGATGTGAACTGTTGTATAGAATACTGACTGTTGTTTAGAATAACGCTAACCGTCGTTTAAAATGATGTGAACTGTTGTATCGAATACTAACTATTGTTTAGAATAACGCCAACCGTCGTTTGGAATGATGTGAACTGTTGTATAGTATACTGAATGTTGTTTAGAATAATGCCAACTGTTGGTAGAATAATGCTAATTGTTGTTCATAATAATGCAAACTGTTTTTTAGAATAATGAGAACTCATCTTTAGAATAATGGAAACTCTTCTTATCAAAATGATGTTCTTTGAAAAATGCATTTGTTTGGGAAAATGCTAATTGTTGTTTAGAAAAATGCTAACTGTTGTTTGGAATAATTTAAACTTTGGTGTATGAAATGCTTTCCAAAATGATGGAGTTCAGACCAATAGATGGCAGCTTAGAGTAGTTCTAGTATAGTCAGTCAATAACAAGGAGGAAATAAATAAGGATTATGTACTGGGAGGTTTTGGATACAGGGTTTATCCCAAGGGAAATATGTATATCTCCCGAGGGACCGCAGGGACCGAGGGAGATACACATACTTCCCTTGGGATAAACCCTGTATCCAAAACCGACCGTACATAACAGATGTATTTCATACCTTCTAGGTATAGTCCGGATGTGAAGTGCCATATTTTAAGTGAAGGTGGAAATGCTTATTATATGAACTTTTTTTGCATTTTCTGTTTAAACATGATATCCATATTCAGAAACTGCCGGATGCCCAACGGGCATCCTTGAGGAATTTTTTTGGCGGCCATTTTGAATTTTCACACGTTTTATGTATTTTAGCCAGCATATTAGAACAGAAAACGAGCATACACATAAACAAATCTTGCTGTTTTTTTTCTATAATAGAGTTTAAATATGATGTATACCAATATGTTAAGTTCCAGAAATGTTTCTTGACAAAAAAAATAAAAAATTCAAGATGGCCGCCAACCTTACAATTTATGAAATGTCTCATTCTGTGATAATATCAAATTGATATTAGTGTTTCCTACAAAATCATCAATAAATAATACTAAATACATCTGATTATTATCTCTTTCTCACATATAAAATATCTGAAATGAGTAAAAAGTAACCTACATAATAATAATGATGTTCCACAAGGGTCATTTCTTGGTGCTATATATATCTTGAATTTATGAATTATCTTCTTTTACTAAGATTTCATCAAGGATTTCCCTCAATAAATCCTCATCAGTTTTTTCCAATTCCTGTTCAGTTACTGTCTTTGTATGTTGGTTGTTGCATTCATTCTCCTTGCAAACACAGAATAATGTACATGATAAAGATGCCTTGGAGCATGAACATCGCCCAGTTGTACATACATTGCCCTCTGATGGATATGTGCACTTAATAAGCTGGATAATTCCTTCAAGGGCACAGGGTGTATCCTTGGGCATTGTTCTTGGGACAAGTGAGCCCGTGCTGTTAATTTCCCAACCATAATCTGTTGGAAGGATAAGTGGGGGGTCAGGCATATCAGCATTTTTCCATATACAGCTGATATAGCTACTTGGAAATGAGCTCGCTTCACATGCTGGGAAAATGCTTCTGTTGTTGGTGGGAGGGATTTTAGCTTTTGTGCATTTGTAATGTGTTTTGCAACATTTTTCTTTGCTCATACAGCGTATCTCACATCAGATATTTTGTCTGTGACTTTAGGTGTTATTCCATAACATCTAGAAACAAATTCTGTTGAAGTTTTCTCAACTTCAGTCATGTCTGCATTGACATCTCCCAAGTTAGCGAGTGAGTATCTATTTAACACCTTCAGGACTGTTAGCTTGCCAATTCCATGCATGCAAGATGTCGTATCACTGCCAGAGAGACCATGCGCAGCTAACAAGTTTGGGATTTTTAATTTGTGTTCATTTACGGTTGCATTAATGTTAATGTTTGCTCGACCAGATGATGTTCCCTCCATCATCACTATTTGATGAAAATGGAGAAATTAATATCACAACTTCAACAAAATCAACACTGAAACAAAAGTTACAGATTGAGGTGACCTCAAGAGGTAACAATTGCAATGTACGTGTTGTTGATGGGTGTGCCATCCTTTGGATCATAACATGGCTGATGGCTGGCAAAATTGAAAACTTCTGTATTGCTTTCACTAAGTACATCCTGAGACTCCTAACCGAATCAGATGTATACCTTATCTTTGAAAGATACTGTATAAGTGGTATTTAATCCGCGTGGTTAGTTTTCCGAATGGTCAAATTTCATCATTTTCCTAATTTTAATTTTCCTAATGACAAGAAACCTTCCATTGGATAACATTATAAAGACAATATTTCCGACATTTAATTTTCCGAACCTGGCAAAAATTAGGAAATATGCAAATTAAATGATTAGGCAAAATTACCACTTATACAGTATAAAGACAATAGCATAAAGAACAGCACCAGGTCATCTCGAGCTCATCAGCCAGTTGAATGTATAAGTTCAGCTCTGACACACCTCTCCCTGCACAGAATGTTGTTCTGAATGTGACTGAGAACAAGGTCCAGTTGATAAAGTGTGTCATCGACCATCTCTCTCAAAAACCTCGTGAAGGATCATTCTCCAACATCCTTGTTATCACAGGTCCTGATCCAACACCTGTTCAAATTCACAAAGGCAATATTGACCAACGTGATGACTTAAGGAACACTCAAGAAGAAGCAGATGTTGTTATCGTACACCAGGTTCTGCATGCTGCCAGTAAAGGCCAACAGAATATCAGTGTACTCAGTGATGATTCTGATGTTTTCCTTCTACTTCTTCATCACTGTCTCAAGCACAAGTTAATGGAAAATAACATCATAATGGAGGGAACATCATCTGGCCGAGCAAACATTAACATTAATGAAACCGTAATTGAACACAAATTAAAAATCCCAAACTTGTTAGCTGCGCATGGTCTCTCTGGCAGTGATACGACATCTTGCATGCATGGAATTGGCAAGCTAACAGTCCTGAAGGTGTTAAATAGATACTCACTGGCTAACTTGGGAGATGTCAATGCAGACATGACTGAAGTTGAGAAAACTTCAACAGAATTTGTTTCTAGATGTTATGGAATAACACCTAAAGTCACAGACAAAATATCTGATGTGAGATATGCTGTATGAGCAAAGAAAAATGTTGCAAAGCACATTACAAATGCACCAAAGCTAAAATCCCTCCCACCAACAACAGAAGCATTTTCCCAGCATGTGAAGCGAGCTCATTTCCAAGTAGCTATATGGGAAAATGCTGATATGCCTGACCCCCCACTTATCATTCCAACAGATTATAGTTGGGAAATTAACAGCACAGGCTCACTTGTCCCAAGAACAATGCCCAAGGATACACCCTGTGCCCTTGAAGGAATTCTCTAGCTCATTAAGTGCACATGTGCATCAGAGGGCAATGTATGTAGAACTGGGCGATGTTCATGCTCCAAGGCATCTTTATCATGTACATTGTTCTGTGTTTGCAAGGAGAATGAATGCAATAACCAACATACAAAGACAGTTACTGAACAGGAACAGGATTTATTGAGGGAAATCCTTGATAAAATCTTTCATAATTCATAAATTCAAGATATATATAGCACCAAGAAATGACCCTTGTGGAACATCATTATTATTATGTAGGTTACTTTTTACTCATTTCAAATATTTTATATGTGAGAAAGAGATCATAATCAGATGTATTTAGTATTATTTATTGATAATTTGTAGGAAACACTAATATCAATTTGATATTATCACAGAATGAGACATTTCATAAATTGTAAGGTTGGTGGCCATCTTGAATTTTTTTTTATTTTTGTCAAGAAACATTTCTGGAACCTAACATATTGGTATACATCATATTAAAACTCTATTTTAGAAAAAACAGCAAGATATGTTTATGTATATGCTAGTTTTCTGTTCTAATATGCTGGCTAAAATACATAAAACGTGTGAAAATTCAAAATGGCCGCCAAAAAAATTCCTCAAGGATGCCCGTTGGGCATCCGGCAGTTTCTGAATATGGATATCATGTTTAAACAGAAAATGCAAAAAAAGTTCATATAATAAGCATTTCCACCTCTATTGGCTCTACATCCAGACTAGTACATCATACCTCATAAAGATCCAAAATTATTCCAAAACATACTGAAGGTACGCGTTTTCTTGGTCTTAAAGTTTGTGAGATTTTCTAAAATTTTAAAAATAAATTTTAAAAAAAAATTGAAAAAATGTGTGTCAAAAATTTGCAAAAGAAATTTGAAAAAATGTGAAAATGAAATTTTGAAAAAAACCTTAAAAACAATAGAAAAAATATGTTTTTTCAGGAGCGGGACCGGGGTTTTTATTATCAAATATGCCATATCTTTCATGTAGTCCAAACAAGAGATCATTGCTTTAACATAAAACATAAATATTTTTAATTATACTGTATCTATTTATTCATGAACAATACATGTAAAGTTCACTCAAGCACACATGTCTATGTTTACAATTTTGATAAGTCATTTTCTATAACTATAGTGTATATACCGAAATGGAAAGAGAATAGTAACTAAATAAATAATATTTAGACGTGACACTGCTGTTACGGATACAATAGTTTAACGTCTCCTTTGAGATCAATTATAATAGTTTGAAACACAGTGATTTAAGTAGAAATACAATCAATTATATACATGTATACATACTGCATACTGTATTCCTGTATATACAAGTACATATAAATATATGCCCATACACATTCTGGCAATTGCTTCTTTAAGAGCAAGTAAAGCTAGATTCATGGCACATTTGTAGTGTGAAGATAACATACAGTATGGTGTATGCTATTTGTCAACAATAACGGTGAATTATATACTAACATTACATTAAATACTGTTATGTGCTAGTCGATTATAACCTTAAAATAGCTTTTTTTGTCACGGTGATCCAAAAGTTAGTTTGTTTATTTGTTTTTTTTGATAGGAAAACGTAAAAACACGAGTTCTTCTATTCCTCGCACGCAGGGACCAGACATCATAAAAGAAGGAATTCAGTGTTTATGTCCGAACCCCAGTCGGAGAATGGATTTCCTTATACTCCTACTCAAAATCAATAAGTCATTTTGAAGTTTGGCACTGAAAACACTTTATTACTAAAATATCACTCTATTATAAATTGGTAATACGTCAAATAATTAATTTCGAGCTTGAGAACAAGATAGTTGTATCGTTTGTGAGAAGTATTAACCTTTTGATATTATTTATTAGTTCGGCAATTTCCGTGTATCGTACATTTAGCAAGTCGAACTCCCAAGGTGTTCACGCTCACAAGAGTAAAAAGAGATAAGAAGGGGCTCTAGACGCCACCTTGATGTAAGAGTTGAAAATAACAACATGTTTGATCCAACCTAGATGTTGCCGTATAGTCAACATACTCATTATTGTTCATATTGCCCCTTGCATGATAAAAACGAATCGACACTCTATCCCATGCATGTAAGAAACTAAAAATAGTTTATATGAAGTTATTTTTGTTCAATGTGCTTCTGTAATTCACCATAAATCAAAGAAAAGTGGGAAATCATGTCACTTTTGGGTTTCAATGTGACATAATTTTTCAAAGATGTGATTCCCTTGATGTAGATTTAAAACAAGTTTGTGTCCATTTTATTCAATGATGTTATATAATCTTTGCTATTCTTCCCCACGGTGTTGTGCGAAGGATGTATTGTATGTTGTATGATATATCGTTTAGGATTATAAGTTTTTGAATGATTTGAAGTGCAATATATGATATATTCTGCTCGAGAAATTCCGTATTGGAACGAGACGAAGTCGAGTGCCAATACAGAATATCGAGACAAAATATATCCTGTATTACACTTCAAATCATTCAATGACGTATTTATCGTGTGATCCTCTGTATTGCTACTGAGATTGTCCCCTCCGTACCAATATTTTCTGTATTGCGACGGAGATGATCAACGGGGACAATCTCAGTAGCAATACAAATTGGTACAGCACAAGAACTGACCAATCAGAAGGCTTCATTTTACAGATCATACGATAATGTAATGTATTGATAATTATATTATTGCTGGGCAAAAGTGGACACGTGAAATTAAACTAGGCTATTATAATACACGTAGACTCCCCAAATGTTTTTGTTTAGCAGATCTTTTTCATTAACACATTCAACTGAGATTCAAACATTCAAACAGTTCCTTTGGTTAGCGAACCAAATACGAACATTCTGCTTGGATGGATCGAGTGGATTTGGCAGTTTATCCCTCTTTTGCAATGTGATGCCTCATCGAAGATGCACGTTACGAAACCATAACGCTTATGAATCGTGTTTGTACATTCATGCGCGACTATATCATTTACGAACATCCACATTCATCGACTATCATTTCTGAAAGGTCACTAGCGATGATGTTAGAGCTGTCATCCAAGTAGACAAGTGATAGAGATCGTAATTTCTTAGGTGTACAGCATTGTTGAATTGCAGACCTTGGTTTTACTTGTCTGAATCCATTTATTACGATAGCATGATACGAGTTCAGTTTTTCTGGCCTCGTACTTGTGGGGCAAGACCCATCACAAAAATTTGCATAATATCCCTTTGGACTTAAAATCCAATCATCCCATCCGATTTCTGCAAAACTAATATAATGGAATCGTTTGCAGCATTGTTGACCTGTTGCTCCAGGGTCACATATGGCTGTTCGTCGTTTCTTCCGAGAATCTAGACTGGGTTTAACTTTTGTGTGTAGAACAAGAAAAGGCCTTCTCTTAGCAAGCCTGGATGACTTATGTTTATTTAACATGTTTTTGTTTTTTCTCAAATACAATGGTTGGACATCATTACTGCAATTTTCACATTTGACTACGTATTGTAATATATTTTTCTTAGAATCAAACATTTCTTGCACATTGTCCAATGGCAACCGTATCTTCTTCCACGATGTATGGCTTAGTTTTACTCTTGTGGATTTTATATGGCTGTCATATTTCCCATTTTTTCCCTTAGCGTATACTTTTAGATTAAGTCTCTGTCTTGGACATTTATGTCTCTTACACTGCATTAACACCCAGAGGACAGCATTTGTCACATTTATAGATCCCTCAGGGCTTTGGCTTTTGACAATGAACTGCATAGAATAAGGATCGCTATTATCTGAAAATATAAAACACAATGGGTTATACACATGTCGTATTTGCAAATTTCATCAATGAAATTTCAATAACAAAAGTACCATTGAATAGCAAAGAGCAATCTGAACAATTACTCATTTATCGGTGTACCGTATCTCATACTTGGGTAAGGTGATCTGAATCCATGTGAATCTAGTTATCTTGTCGGAGCAAGGGCCTATGGATTTGTTAATTATTGACTAGCGGGCATATATTTTCACACCGTCCATGATTCATCTGTCAATTAAATTATTAGGGTCCTCAAATCAATCTTATTTCGTCATAACATACATTACTGAATACTAATATTAAATATGAATCAATATGGTAAAAATGCACATTTGATTAAAGAAAAAAATTCATGAAATTAATTTGTTTTATTGGATTTAGGGAGTCTTATATCTTGTTTGTAGTTAATTCCTTGCTAGTATATTTTCCACAGTCCCTAAGAGTTCTTGACGGAAATCCACGAAGGTTGACGAAATGCTAATTTCTGACGTCACTATTTTCACTCTGTCACTACTACACGAGGTCTGACACGGTCAACAGGTATAGTATATGGCTGTAGTTTTTCTCATTTGCAGTTCTTTGAGTAAGTATAATTGTTACTTGTCTTTAATTTCCCACCCTTTTCTTCCCACCCTCAAATTATATTTTTAAGGCTTTTAGAGTATTATAAAGGGCTCGCCAAGGTAAAACGGATTTGGTTTTCACATCAATAACACAAGTAAGTCACCACGGTTTAGAATTATTAGAATTATGTTTGTTTGAATAATATCGTATACATGTTTTTATAACTTATTAGCTTTAAACTCCCTAAAAACACCGGAGACCACAAAGAGAATAAATATTGTTGCCTTGATTTTTGAAATAGAGAAATCATAAATCACTGTGTAGCTATGACAACGTTGCAAATTCATCTGATCCATTTAGACTACATCATTTTGATTCCCTGAATAATGAATGAATTGTATTACGTGTTGCAGTTAGGACTAAATATAGCGTAAAGACTCTTCGCGAAAATTATTCACATGAGAAAATTGAGTGACAAAACATTAAACGGCTTGGCCGCATAAATCACCGAATCAGTTGCTTTTCAAATAGTTTGCCTTTTTTGGAACACATGAAATTCGATTGTCTTACTTTAAGATGTCGGTAGAGTGGCATAGTCACATCTTGAAAGACAATTGCATTGAACGGCAGTAAGGCAACAAGCATATTCCTTTTAGAAACCGCCTACGTCGAGGTCAGCATGACCTCATAAACTTTATCTTGGATTAGCCAATTACAAATTAGCCTATTTCGATTTAATGCAACAAGTAATTCATAACGTATACTGAATATTGCAAAAAGCATCATTGATCGTAAAATAACAATGAACTATAATGTAGAAAATACTCATAAGAATGTGAATGGCCTTAGATAAGTATCGATGGAACGGTACGCTAACCATTTGATAAAACAGGAAATAGTGTGGGAGATATTGAATTAATGCTTTTCCAATATAATATCGGAATCTTTGACTCTAGAACGTAATCTATATGTCTATTTTATTTTACATTTCCGGCTTCTGTCTCTTCAGAGGATTTCAAATTGTCCCATTATATCATTGACGTTCTGTTCCGGAGTTCGTGATCTGCATGCCAACCTCCCGAAATTAGAATTCAAAGATAAAAATAGCCGGGAAATGCCGAACGTCTCATAAACATAAAGCATGTCAATAGCAGCCCACAGAAGAACTTAAAATTCTTCATACTGGCTTATCAATCGCAATTACTTGTGACCGCAACCATGACAAAAATGCAAAGCCAGATGCTCCACAGAAATGATTCAATGTTGACCGTTTGTGTGGGATATAGATGTTCTCGTTTCCAAATAGAAATAATAAAAAATATTGCACAAAAATATAACAAAGGACATACTTGTGCCTAAAACCATTCTGGTCCTATCCGGTTTAGGCGTACTTGTACCGCAATAATGGAGTAAAAGTGGTAAATCGAACACATTGTTAATTCGGTCACCCTGACATCGAGTCTGAAGTTAAAAGTTTAAACCCGGCGATTTCTTTTGCTCTATCAAAACAGTACATTTCCGGAACTGTAACAATAGCTGAATGTCAAATGTACCGGCTTTGACTCTCACGTGATCTTAACATTAGTGCCCTTCCCAAACTATATCAGCTGTTTCGGTTATCACAGTATTATTTTTTCATGATGAAATGTCCTTGTTTTTGGACAACAACGGAAATCAAAATATCGGTTATTTGTATTACCATAGGTGCCCTAGCATATCTGTCTATCAGGAGAGGTCCTCTGGTAATTCTAGCTTGAGAAACCGCATCTGCCATTCCATGGAAGGCTTCATAGAATGTTTCTAGGTTAATTGAAACATGTAACAAAAAAAGCTGCATTCATTCAAATATGAATTACTTTCAGGAAGAAAGTCGTGTGGCTTTCACAGTTTACGCCCCATCTTGTGGAGTTTATCTTATCTAGGTTAGTCAAAACAATGATGTGACATAAGTGGGTTCAAAACATTCCAAATACATCTCATGTTGATTGATTCTAATGTTTATCTGATAAACACAGTTTAAGTTCATTAACCCCATTCTGTTCCAAAAGTACAAAATGGGGGGCATTATTTTGTACCTTGAGACCCAAACCAAATAATCAATGGTTTTTCAATTAGTTCAAATTCAATCAATTTGTTCCTTGTGTAAGTGAGAAGAACACGAGTGACTCTTGTACTCCTCATGGACATTTGGAGACGTTTGAATGTAATCCAGGGCCTATCAATATGTATGTCATTGTGTACGTGAGCATGTCAAGAATAAGATTGAGTTTTTACGCACGTTGTCGGTTGTGCAATTCTTCTAGATTGACCTGAATGTTAAGAAGATAAAAATTATTCAGGGAATCTTCAACGCGCCTTACATTCTGGCGAAAGTACTTGGCAGAAAATCAGAGCAAGTCTATATTTTGAAATTAACAGCTAAGAAATTCAAATCCAATTTTCCAGCTTCTGCCAATTGTGTTAATATAAACACTTTTAAAACAAAACAGCTAAATATGTATGGAGCTAAAGATTATAGTAATGCATTATGGTAAAAAAATAATGCCAGGACACATGAAGAATTTTGCGATATGCACTTTAACATTTTTGTTGTATCCTACGTCAATGTGCCTTTATCAATGGGTTTGATAACGATAATGTAGTTACTGGTGATTGGAGAGTGAGTTGTAGGTTACGTTGCTATAGCTTGGTTATTGGTTACTATGACCGAGTCGTAATTTTTCTTGACAGGAAACCATATATCATAAATTCATTCTTTTAGTATTTGTCAAATACGTTTTTTAATTAAAGCTCACCCGAGAGTTACCTTAAGGCCACTACAGGTTATTTATCCGTTGCGTGAAAATTTTGGAGGGACAATGAAGAACTAAATGTGTTCTCTCTTTGTTATTAGAAAACCCGGGATATAAATAAACGAAATATTATTAAATCCGGTACAACTGCCCCTGAAAATGGAGGTTTAAGGATATCGAGCAGGTACCACAAAGCTGAGATTTATTTGGTAGGGGGCCCAGTAAGCGTAATGTGAGAGTGCTATTGGAATTGTGATGCGTGGGTGTTTACACTTCAAATACTAACATCATTAAGCTCATGGCGAGGGCGGCCGTTATATCGATGATCATCGGCTTGATGCGATAATTAATAATTTCCAATTATTTAAATTGAGAAAACTGATCGTGTACTGTTTATCAAAACTAAAAGTAAATTTACTTTAAAAAATGTGGGGGGTATCGTTTCTATCAATTGTCCCTTGGACATTTTTATGTGGAAATATAGAATGATTCATTCGATGAAATCATAGGTGAATCACTAATACTGTCATTGTTCTATGTTAATGTAACTTGGAAAATGACTGTTGAAGTGAGTGATGTAATGACAATGAGTCATGTCTTTAAGCGACTAATCAGCTTGTGGAAATACATACACATTGTTCTTGCGTAAAACAAGTCACCTTGGAAGTAGAATAGTGTTAAAATTGAATAAAGCCTTTGGAAATCAAATGGGTTCCGCTGACGCACCATTCACTACTCAAAAGAATTGTTTACACGTTGTCATGGTGATTGAATAAACCCATATACCTAAGATAGCACCTCATTTCAATGTAAAGCATACCCAACGGTTATTGTTTTCTGTGTGTAACGACGACTATGCCTGGCTTGGGTAAATTAGATCTAATAAGAAAATATATAACATTGGTAAGATTTATTGCATACATCCACGATTTATTAAGCTCTGGGATTGTTTTCATCTTGAGTAATTAATTAGGCGTGTGCATGCAACATCCAGACCTATAACACTATCTCGCTTCCCGGGAATAGCTACTAGCTAACTTGCCAGTGAAACCCTATATGCTCAATGGAGTCTATATTTGTAAAACTATTCTGGCACATGGATATTGCTTTAACATCTTTACCTATTATTGGGGAACAGTGCTAGTATTCACTTTCCCAAATGGATTTCAAAGCTCCCACGCATATATGTTGTTAACTCCTAACTAGCCGGATATTTAAGTAAAGTATACCATCACTGCTTTTATAAAAAGTAATGATATTTGAAAAGGGTATACATAAAAATGTGACATTATTAAAGACTCTTTTTGATGACTTACAAAAACAGGTCAACATGAATTGAAAAGCTCATTTAAATGAAAATAACAGCTTGTATTTCTTTGTCAGTGTTACAGCCTCCTAAACAGTAAACACTGTATGTTGTTCTTTGTCCGTTTCTATATGTCTGAATAAGTTTTTTGTCTGTTTGTATGAGAAAAACGACTATCTGTTCATCAGCCTTTGTGCTATACTGAGTTAGAACAGTTAAATACACATACCACTTGTCTATCCCGTGTCAAACACCCCGGTAGTTTTACACGTCTAGGCTGCCCGAGAATAACGGTATTAGACTAGTAATATAATACACTATAGACGCTTTAAAATACAATTTGCAGGCCCTCATAGCTAGTTTGGTTTCCTGGTGTATTCGTCTCAACAACATCATATCAATCAACCCATTTGTAACCCGAATATATACACAAGTTAAACCCGAGGTGATAGTAAAGTGATCTGGGGATATTAGTTAACGCTTGAGTAAACTATCCTCAATGCACGATCGTAAATTGTGCCGTATCCTAGATTCCGGGGCATATTAACCTAACATATTCAGAAGTTATCTCGAAACACCTGTCATTTGAACGAGAAAAACAAAGTGTATCCCTTACACATTTCTGCCATTCTGATACTCATTGCATCTCTTACACATTATAACGGTCAAACCATGGTATGTATCTACTAATTCTGGTGAAATATATTCAAAGTGTAATGTATAACTGTCTAGCATCTCACTCGACTTCAGAATGCTCGTGCCCTGCAGCATTTTAACATTGACTTGACAATGATACGTCCTCTTAAGGTCATATGTACCCTTACAAAATGTAATGCATATTACTACCGTTACTTCAAAAAACTCTTTCACAATGTTTCTTGCTGTTAATTCTTGTATGTATATATTTAAAAATTAAGATCGAAATACCTTTATTGGAAATAAACTCTATGATAAATTCAAGAGAGAGTCAACCAACATATCACTTTCACAATGCCATGTGGTACGATAAGAACTATGGTTTGAATGACCCCCCCCCCCCTCTGTCATTTCTTAAAGGAAAGACTGAATTAACATGAACTTAAACAATTTGGTAGAAAAGTAGAAAATACAAAGCATGGTCAAGCTTACCTGTTGCAGGTTCTGCGAAGCTAATAATTTCTTTTGGTTTGGCGTAGTAGTTGGACACTTCCTTTGCCTTTGGATGGTTTTGTAATTTGGATCTGAATTTATTGACAACTTTGTCGTAGACAACTTGTGGTATATCTCGAGTCACATTAGGTTTATGTTCCAGTCCAAGCTTTCCCAAAATTTGTGTTTTTATAATCTCTAGTCTCATCTGATCCTCGAGTTGTGACTTAATGTTTAAGTTTATGTCTATATGGGCTGGTGATGCCCTTGTGATCATCTCCAACAATATACCAACAACAATCAAAAGTATGGCAATATCTGGCCCCGGCATAACCGTCCCGCGCTGCTGCTATCGAAAAACCGGTCGCCAGCTGAAGAACGTTGACAGCAAGCGTTATACGACTTGTCTTTATTCTCTCCAGCACATCCCGTACATCGCTATGTCTTTGTGTGCCTGAAACGAAAACAAACTTAAGCTACTAGTGATTCAACTGCTCTCTGATATTCAAATGTAACCACAAGTTTTTTAAAGTGCTATATACGGATGCTACTAGGCAATGATGGCAACACTACGTAAAATATGATAATATTTATTATGTCCCTGGGATCGATAATGATCCTCTGCGTGGATTTGAGCATTTCTACCATAATCATCTGCGCCAAACTGCAACTGTACCTCAACTTCTTTCACAGTATAGTTTACTGAACATAATAGAAACAAAGAGTAGTTGCATTGTACGTATGAAGTATGTCCTTCCTAGAATATTTTTAACTCACCTGTCGACTATACTATCAGTATGTTTCTATGTAAATTGATGATTTTGTTAGACTGATTTTGTGCCATATCTGTCCTTAACGATGAATAAACCTCTTATATATACATAATGTTTAACAATTAATTGTTGACGTAAGTAGTTTCTACAATTATTCATACGATTCGACAATAGCCCTTGTCCAATCAATTTCTTATTTTCTTCATAATTCCAATTATTTTATGAACCGTCGTTGTATCCACATACGTATACGTAATTACACGTCGCACAAAAATGGGGACAAAATTAGCGTAACTCAAAATACCAAAACAGAACAATTATCAGAAATAGCCTTATAATCAAAAACTACGACCGCTTCGTTTAATTTTGTCTGTTAAAGACACACTGTAACATATAGCTAACTAAATGGTTAAAAACATTTTCTCGAGCTTTAGAGTCGATTTAATTTAAAACCTTCTCTGGTACGGTGTTTCTATTTTCGAACTTCAAAGTCGTCTATATTGAGACTGAGGATTGAAAGGTGTCCACGACAACTTTCAGCTCATCTTTATTACGACAGACCGGGAGTGAATTTTCGAGTTGAGTAAATAGTGATAATGTTCTTTTTATGAACAAGGAAAGTCAAAACATTAGACGTGTAGCAAAAAGGTCGCGCACGCATTGTTACACATTTTCGCTTTTTAACACCACAGAATGTGACGTTTTTCGAGAAAAATGTACACATATGGAAATCCTTTCGTCCTCCACATTTGCCTCTATATCTCAAAATATTTAAGGCGAATAACTCTGATATCGTATATGTATTAACAATGGGATAGGAGCATCATAAAACACGAATCAATTGATATTATAGGTGAAATAAATATACGTGTTGCTGTGCTTGAAAATAGGCGAATGGCGTAATATAAATTAGCCCTATTTTAATGAATTTCGAAAACCTTTCGTCCTCCACTTTTCCACATACAACAGAAAACACATACTTTTGCAAACAAAATCAACTATTTATTAATAAACTCGAGTTTAAGAGCAAAATAATCATGTTTGATTTAATAAAAATTTATCTCGTATTTTTTGTTTAATGTACACCTGAAAAGTTGAAGGTAGCAAAAATGAGCAAAAAAGGATTAGGATTAGAGGGATGATATCAGAGTTGATATTGATATCATCCCGGCTAATTTCAAAAATTTTACATTTTCCCCCAAAATTCATTTTTCAAACAAAAAAGCATTTTTTCAACTAAAAATATTTTCAACAAAAAAAACATTTTTTCAACAAAAAACAAACATTTTCAACAAAAAAAACATTTTCATCAATATTTTTCATTTTTTCCCATTTTCATTTTTTCAATATTTTTCATTTGTGCTCTTGACCATGGTATACGGTCGTTATTCACCTGTCGGGCTGATATGGATGCGTTCCCTCCTGGTGAATAACTACTTTGTATCCGATGGGTGACTGAATTTTGCTAGTTGACCATAGACAATAATGTAGACAGTATGAATGGCCGAATGGTTGTTTGACAAGGTTACGAACACGAGAAGCATCCATTATACTATGGAATAACACATGGTTTACTCATGATATTAATATCTGTTATCATATCCTATTGTTGTGAAAATCATCATGAGTAAATCGGAGGGTATCCTTTTTACTCGGTCTAACCGAAACAGTTTGAATGACCACTTGCTTGAATATATGGTGTTTTTGTGGTATATGTTATTATAGTGTGTTATGAACATTTTGTATAATTAATAATTAAAAAATATTCTTAAACTCGACACAATGCAATTAATTCGAATTCAAAATATCAATACTGGCAATGGTTTTATATTTTATGGTAAGTTGACACCAAATTTTTTATTTGATATAAAAGTGTATATTAAGTGCATACTATTTGCCTCTGGTAGAGGGTTGGAGTTATGATGACAACTGGTGAGTTTCCTAAAATAACTGACACCTACTTGTATATTCTCAAAATATAATCATGATTTATGCCAGTGTGAAAATTATATGTATGGAATGGAGTTGTTCATTTAGTAACAAATTGGTTTTGGTAATTATAATGTGTAAAATGATTTACTTTAGAATAATAAACTAGTTTATGTCAATGTACAAATAAATGTTTTGATTAATGAAATAACTTCAAATTGAATTCATTTGGCTAATTATAGTCATTTTAACATATATTTGAATAGATTTGAAATATTGTCATTTTAATATACGTTTGAATCGATTTTGATAATTATTGTTGTTAAACACCTACCCCAAAAAATCAACACAATCACGCATTTTAGCTATTCTAAGTTTCTCGGGATTTACTAGAAGCGCTCCCAGGGCGTTGAAAAGACTCCTTCACGTCACAAAGTTATATAGATTCCCTTACAAGACCTCCCGAGATATGTTCGTTATTTCTATTTAACCCCCCAAAAATGTACAGCTTATTGAAGTACTCCAAATGAGTAGTCATTTCCCTTCTAATCGAATAACTGTTAAACTGTGGACTCAAGGAAAAGGTCCAAATTTCTGGTTACACGCTTCATATATAAATTGACCGTGATCATGATGTTTGCAAACATTAATTGTAAGTATTAGAGGCAAGCAATTCACACGATCGAGCAGTTTGTGTGGTCAACAAGCAAACCATAAAAGCCTTATTTTATCCAAACCCGATGTAAAAATGTTTGTAATATGAATACTTCCTACCTCAAAAACCTCATGTATCCATAGTGATCGGATATCATTCTTTGAACATTTATACAGGAAGGTCTACAGAGCGGTACCAAAATGAGGACATCGTTGTTTTGTGTATTGCATAGAATGTGTCCAATAAGGGACCCATCATAAGGTAATATTTACATATTTATATTTATTCATGAGTCTGCTGTTAACCAGATATGGGCAAAGGATAGGTATCGATATGGTGAACTGAATTCAACAATGTTTTTCTCTGAAAACAATTATTGAAAACATTCTGTAAAAAGGTCCTTTATGTAATGTTGACTGATTGGCAACAATTTAATGCAAAAATTATTTAGAAATATTTTATTTAACTGTTTTTGTTTACATTTTTTGTTTTTTAGTGCAATTGTTTTTGCTCCTTTCTACTAATTCTTGAGAATGAAATAAAATGTCTTTCCGAACCTTGTTGGAACAACATAGCATATATAACATGTTTTTAGACCTCTCAATATTATAGTTATACAAAGGAATTTTGGGTTGTTTTAAAAAAAGTATAGAAAAAATTAAAACTAAATCCCCCCAAAATAGATAAAAATCAAGATGAACCCTTTATTTCATTAACAAGATACTTTTTTAAAATCAACAAAAAGGATGGGTATCGATATGGCGAACTTTTTGAACACACGTTTCTCTTAAACCAGTCATAAAAAATTCTGAAAATTTGACACAGTGTCAATTTAATGGTCATCTTTTGAATGGTAACAATATAATTTGAAATAGATATATACTTTTTTCTATATTGTTTTAGAAAACACATCAGACACTTCTTTTGTTCTTGGTATCATATGTTCGGAATGAAATGAAACACCTATCCGAACCTCATTGGAACAAAATGACATAAACACAACGTGTCTATGTCTCTCAATATTGTAATATTACAAAGGAAAGTTTGGTTGATTTAAAAAAAAGTATCTTGTTAATGAAATTAAAGGTTTATCTTAGTTTTTATCTATTTCGGGTTTTTTGTTTTAATTTTTTGAATACTTTTTGTTAAATCAACCAAAATTTCCTTTGTACAACTATAATATTGGGAAGTCTAAGAAAAGGTGTATATGCTATTTCGTTCAAACAAGCTTCGGAAAGATATTTTATTTTTTCAAGAAATTGTGAAAAGGAACAAAAAACAATTATATAAAATATAAAATAATTATTTTCGCATTAAATTGTTGTCAATCAGTCAACATTACATAAAGGACCGTCTTTTTTACAGAATTTTTTCAATAATTGGTTTAAGAGAAACATTGTTGAATTCAGTTCTCCATATCGATACCAATCCCTTCCTTTGTACAAATTACAATATTGAGAGACCTAAACATGTTGTGTTTATGTTGTTTTGTTCCAATGAAGTTCGGAAAGATGTTTCATTTCACTCTTGAAACATGATACCAAGAACAAAACAAGTGTTTGATGTGTTTTCTAAAACAATATAGATGAAAATTTATATATATATTTTTCAAATTATGTTGTTACCATTCAAAAGATGCCACTCCTTTACGATAATTGATATTTTTTAAATTCCATGAATTCTGCTATTCTACCACATCCTGCGCCATGTGTATTGAGATCAACGACACTATATATGTGCTATTGTGCTGTCAACACAACTGTTTACCATGACCATGCAATATATATTGAAAATATTGCTAATTATTTCTTGAAAAACAGCTTAATTGGTGATTTTTTGGACAAAAATCAAATTTTGCTAACGAAACTCGGACAACAGATTATGCATCAAGTCCGTCGATGATTTCTAGCTGGTTAATAAAATATGTTTCCCATCATCTCTCAAAAGGGGTTGTTTGATATGTCGTACTGATTAAAAACTAACATGTTTTATAATGTCCATATGTTTCGTATCCTCCAACACATACTAAACATATTCAATTTACTAAAAAATTCGAATTAATTGAGAATTTATATAACAATCATTTAAATACTACATTTGATTAGTCTAATTTCTGAAAATAATTGTTTGAAATAATGTATGGGCATTCATTAAATCTTAATGTTTGGAGGATACAAAATATTGGACAGCAGAACCAAAAACATAT